AGTTCTACAACAGGAGCAAAGGAAATGCAAACTGCTGTCAATGTTTGATGCCGAAAAGCTTTGATCATGATGGATTTGATGTGAAAGGCAAGCAAGGCTGTTGTTACAAAGTACTGCCCCACAGTCTGTGAGTATTAGCATGTGCTCCAGTTTCAGCACATCGGTTCTCAAAACCTTCCAGTAAGCAGAAAGTGGAAAATACAAATGCACACTTATATTCAGCAATATCAGGAAAAAGAATATTTCTAATAAGAAAAAGACAGTGGCTTTACTTCCAATGGAATTTAAAATCTCATTGTAGCTGACAGTGATATGTTTTATCTTGTGGCCGTTTGAACAGACATTTTTTTATGGAGCAGAAAAATGCCTCCGAGAAGATCTTGGGGACATTGCTGTTTTCTCTGCTGTGACGTAAGGCAGGGGCACACAACTCAGCATTTTTCTTCTTTAGAAGCTTACATTAATTTATTTTGACAGCATTTCCAACCCATATAGTAGCTTAGGACTATCTGTTTGTGCTACCTTCCTATTTTAGACAAGCGATGCTTTGCGTGAGACTGTTAATTTGGCAAAGGGCATGGGTTCACATTTGGTTTTCATAGACTGATAGATTTAAAGGCCAGAAGAGACCATTATGATCATCTAGTCTGACCTCCCACTTCAGTCAGGGCACCAGCCTCACGCAATCGTTACTGCAACAAGATCATGAGTTCAGCGTGAGCTAGACAGCAGCTTAAAGAAGGCATTCAGTCCTGAGTTGCCTTTCTTTAATTTTTAGCATGATTTTTTCCAACTTCAGGCCCCATTGCCTGGGTCATATCATTTTATAGGCATGCAAAGTCAAAATGAAACATCATCCTCAACTGTCCTTTTCAATTACATGTCTGTGATTTCATCTACTTGGATTTATCCCAAGATTATAGGAATATTTATGTTGCATAGTTGTCAAACCATTCTAAATGGACAGTAAGCATTATTTTCACTTTATACTGGACGTTGTAAAAACAGTTGCAAAGCACGCATGGAATGTTAAGATCTTGGGCCTGATCTGCATTTGTAAGTCAGCAAGCATTCAGCCTGGCTTTTGGTTTTTGAGAGCAGTTTGCATCCACTGAGTTGAGAGGAGTGAAGCCTGTTCACAGAGCAATGCACAACAACTATTGCCCTTCTTTTAAAAACCAACCCCTGCATTTCTAAGGTCAGTTTTTAATAGACAGATAACAACAAAAATTGGCAAGTGACAAAAAAAAAAAAAAAAGATAAGGACAGGCAGGTGCAAATGTTTAAGAAATGATGATTTACCTAGAACATTTCCAAAAATGCAGTCGTAATTTGGTTCACCTAAGTGAACGGCAGTAGAAAATTGGGTGGGAGGAAGGAAGATACTTTGAATAAGTTTATTCTGCCATTCATTTTCACATATCATAATGTGACAGCACACTTTCTTCAGACTTAAAACCTGGCTACAATTCACTATCCCAGGAATTCTTGTCTACAGTACTGAATCAATTTTTCAAGATGGCCAGAGCTCCAAGTCTGGCACTGAAGTTTTACACAACCTGGGAAGTTAGAGGTGTGGATGTACAATGAGTTTCTGACTCTTTAGAAACTCTGTGAGCAATTTCTGCATCTGAAATTTAAACATCTTTCAGGCCCATTCCAACTTCCCTTATACAAAGTAAAGAAAGAGTGCATGGTTTGGACTCTGCTTCTTGTGCACGCTACCATGTGGTAGTCAAAGTGATGCCACAGTTTGTATGGGACTCAATAGGGGAAAGAACTAGAGGAAGATACTGCCAAGAGAAAATCCAGGTAAACATGCTGCAAGAAACGGTCAAATTTTGATGACCTTTAAAACTTTCAAGTCAGGCTAGTTTTAAGAGCTGCCATTCAGTGCTTGCCCTCATGAAACTGGAAAAATTTACATTAATTTCAGAAAGCAGCTGCCAGATTCTTGCTATTTAGTAAAGCAGTAATATAAACTGATGTTCTTCAATAGAAGTTTAAAAAATTCTTATACTTCTTGACTTAAAAAGAGCCCAATCTCTTGCATACCAAACTGTAAGGAAACAAAATTCCTGGCTTTCCATTTTGAAAATGACACAGTGTGATGAGCTAGAGCATAGGAATGCATTAACTCTAATTTTCATAGGGCAACTCCCTTGTTTAGTAGCCTTCATTTTCACAATTGGGAAATGCAGACGACATCAAGAGACCTGTGTGAAACCGTTAAAATATACATGAGTTTATGTTTGTATTCACTGGATAGAGAACTTATTCTAAAATTTTGTTCATTATCCAGTATTTGGATAATTATAAATATTTGTATTATATATAATGTGTATATAATGTACATCATATATACATTAGATATAATATATAAATATATAATCTATATATCATATATAATCTGTTTATAATCTATTGGTAAATAAATTTCTGTTTCAGAGAAAAATATTTATTCTTCATATATTAATGGCCTTAGTTCAAAAAACTTTCAGGTTATTGAAAATCACTGCAGAGTTCCATAACAGCATTGAGAACATTTTTTCTTCGTAGTATGTGTAGGTCCCGAATGTTAGCGTTTATTGTGTCCAATAATACATTTGAAATTAGGCAATCCAAATCAACAATGTACATTTACCATTTTAAATCTTTTGGTATAACATATTAGAACATCTACAAAATGAATATATGAGCAATAAGGTGTATAAATATCATTTCAAGAGTATTTGCACATTGGGAGCCCCTTAACAAACTGGTTTTTAAAGACAAAGGTTATCTGATACTGTAACTATATATGGTATTTTGACTTTGCATGTGAGTCTCAGCTCTACAAAGGGACATCTAACAGCACAGCAAACATGCCTTTGCAATTAAATGATCATTCACAGCACAGCTTATGGAAATATAAGATACAGCTCAAACCGTTCGGTAAAGAATGCCCATTCTTGTTACTCTTTGTTTTAGTGGGCTATAAAATAAATGCAGTGTAGAAGGTACTTTTTCAGCCAGAGCTTGTGATACCCGATACGCATGACTGTGCTGGGAGGAAAATGCCAAAATTATGTACTTCAAGCACCCATCACGCTTCTCGGAAGGATTACATATGTAAAGCCATCAAAATCTTGTGCTATCTTTAATGGAACAGGACTGACTGCTCCTTCGGTGTTTACGGCGTCAGCCCTGGTAAATGCCAAAGTATGTATGGTTCAGCAATGAAATACTGCCAGCTTCACTCGTTTCTGGCCATATGCAAGAGAAGGAGAAAGGAGACTGCATGGCTGCAGAAAGGGAGGGCAAAGAACAAAGTGTTTTAAAACAGCATGAAATAGGCAGGGAGTAACAGCGCCAGAAAATACACACACACACACACATTAAATTCAGGCACAGAGGTGGTAAGGGTGGAGGGGGAAGAAAGGATGAGAGAAGTCAGGTGAATCAATGGTAGCTGAAGGGACTTCAGCAACTGAATAGGTACATCAGCCGGCAAAAGTAGTAGTGTGAAGAAAAGAAGCCCATTAATAAATGAGGAGGAGGGGTGAAATTAATGAGAGCTCTGCAGAGACAGTGCAGCCCTCGTGAGGAGAGAAGCACAGGCCCTAGCTCTGGTATTCTTGTTCAGTACCTCCTAGGTACTGGGGACTGCTCAGGGGACAACGTACAATTAAAAGGCAGGGACTGTCAGCCTGTCGGGAACATGAAGCACGGGACTGGTCTCACACACTTATGTAGGTGAATAACTATGAGGAAGACCTCATCGCACCAGCAGTCCCCAGGATTTTTAAAATGAAATGTATGCCCCTGAAGTTACTGAAGAAATAAATTAGTGTTTACATTCAAGACTCTTTTTAATGATTTGCTGCTTTTTTTTTTTTTTCTTATTCTTTTTTAAGTCCTCAAGTTGTATTTACAGGGCACTTTTCTCTCTCTGGAAACTTCGCATTTCATACAAAACTTGGACTTTTTCATGCCCATGTTCTTCCAGAAGGTGGAATTTCATGTAAAACAGCAGCTATCATGGGATGTACAGTAAAAAGCGAGAAGCTGGTACTTGCAGGTTCCACAGTGCACTGCTGTGTCCTCATCCTAAGGCAGCCAGACCAGGGAGCGGGTCACAGCCATCACAGACATCCTCATGTGCTTGAATTTCCTTCCTGTGGATAAGGATGGAAGAAGGGAGGCTGAAACATTTGTTTCTAGACCTCAGTCTCACACGCAATTGTACAGTGGCCAGGGATGCGGCCTCAGATCTGGAAGGTGGAAAGCGCTCCGAGCTCCCACGGTGGCAGATATTTATTGCAGCCATAATGAGTTGATAGACACAAGCCATAAGTTCTCTCTTAAGAACACTTTAGTTCACTAAGTGTCTGTGCACAGTCTGTGAGTAGATATCTCGTTCTTATGCATAGAAAGGATGTTTTTCTTTAGAATTATTTATTAAAAAACATAACTCTACTGAACTAGGGATTCAAATCAATTTGACCAATTCCCCCAGCATCGTGAATCCCAAGAAGAAAGCGCTGACCTATCTACTGGGTCCTTGCAAATACAGTCCCAAAGGGGCACATGCTAGGAGACCTCAGTTAGCAGCAAGCTTTTTAATTCAGATGTTAGACTGAGAGCAGGAAAAAATGGGTCACAAAGCATTCTCAGCCAAAATAAACCCCTTTTTTTTGTGAAATATTTTCACTTTCCTTGCTCTTTTCCTTACTCCTTTTACCCCCTCAAGTAAAGCTAATTGCTTAATCTAGGTTTTAGTAGTTCCTTAAAAACTTTATTTTCTAGAACTCACTCTTATCTTGAACTTTTCTGCTGTCTTGGCTTGCCATACTTGATGCATAGACAAAACATCTAATGGAGCATATAAAAATGAAAGTCTCATGTTCATATCTGTGTAATTACAAAATTCAGATCCTGAAAATGTATCAATTTTTCAGCTGTTCACCTAAATGTTAAATTCTTCAAACTGCTAATGTGTTGTGTTTTCTTTTCAACAGCAAAATTTGGAGAGTAATCTCACCAACCTTATTAAGAGGAACACCGAACTGGAAACTCTTTTGGCGAAACTCATTCAGACCTGTCAACATGTAGAAGTGAGTACTGAGCTCCATTTGAAATACTTGAAATTTAATTACATTCACTTCTAGCATTCAGGAACAAAAGTTTAAAAAAAAATAAATACAATGAGCGCAGAACAAAATTAGTCAGTGGTAAACTCACTTGGAGCTTTTTCATTAATAAATGGTATTCTCAATACAGATTACCTCCTTCGCATTCCTTCCTATCTATCTCCTTTTAATTATGTTTATATAGCCCCCACCACTGCTATACTTGAGCACATCACTCGCTATGTGTAATAAGTTTATCTTTTGGGGTCCTTTGTGAGGTAGACTAATATTTACAGGTAGAAAAATAGTGCCCAGATCCACAGTAATATTTACGTTTCTATCAGCCACTGATTTTTTTTTCATCAGAATTAAGTATCTAAATACATATGTGGACTCAAAAGTTATACATGAAAATTTATCTTCAGAAGAAGAAAGATACTTACAGGCCTTTGAGTTGCCTCAGTTACGTATTCCACTTTGAGTTTCACAGAAAATCTTTGGCAGGGAGGGACCTGAATCCATATTTCCCCCAAATCTGGGGGATTTTTTAGATGGCCCTGTGATGGCTGCTGCTTTACATGCAAATTAAAATAATCACAGACTAATTTAACCAGGGGAGCTGACATAAGAGGAAATCAGAGTCCAAAATAGACTTTTTTTTAACAAAACTTTTCTTTTTCCTTTTTGCCATGCTTTAAGACTTTTTCAGTTCCCTATAGTATATTCAGGTCAAGAAAGCCAAAACCACTGTGAACAAAAAGCTTCCTTATCATACAAAACTTGTGAAAGACAACATGAGTTTATGCTTTCTGACAGTAAATATTACACAAACATCCCTGTGGCATCAAAACTTTATCACCAGTGCTTTTCTCATTGTCAGTCTCAGCCATGAGCCCCAGGTGACGCACCAGATACAAAACATTTTCACCCCTCTTCCAGGTAAATTGTAGCTGAGAAACACTGGAAGTCTAGGAAAGGCTCAATATTGTGAGGCACGTGTGCTTGTTGACAGATATACTGGATTCACTGAGATACAGCAAGTTCATGTTTGCAGGGCTATCAGTTTTCGTAAGTTCTAAGTTCAATATAAGACGGCATGGGAAAGTTAATGGGGTAGGAATCAGAGGAGCTGGCACAAAGTAATACTGCTGATTTAGAGTGAAGCAAACTTCAGACTTCAATCACAGAGAAAAGGTATTTTCAGTTGAACAGGTAATTACTAGTCAGATTAGCAGGGAAAACTTATTTTTCCTGTGAAAAATGGTTGGGTTTTCATTTGCATTACAATGCTGGCTGTTGACAGGCTTCTGCACAGGACCATTTCACTTCTGACTGCATTGCAGTTCCTGCAGCAGCCTCATTTATTCAGACAAGGGTGCACTGTATGTTCCTAGCAGACAGGCAGCATTAAATAATAATAGTGTTGTGTAGAAAAGGTATTCCACTTTGAGTATGGTTGTCTATATGTGAAAGGAAGTCAGGTTTCTTCATCAGTGCTACTTAGGGAGTAGCCCTGGGGAATTTGAGTGAGGATGGTAGCCTTAACCCAGAGCTTCTGAAACATGGATATAATTTAAGAGACAGTTAGCTGTGACACACACTGCTGTAACACATCCACCTGCCGGCTCTGCAGAAAGGCACTCTCTTTTTAGAGAAGCCTCTTTTTCTTCCTTATAAAGCCCCATGGAAGTTCTCCATAGGACTTCTGCTTTCCTGTCTTTTTCAGACTAAAGTTCAGACAATTAAGCCCAAGAGCAACTTTTCTTGTGAACAAAGTCACATCTTGAAAATTTGGTATCTGCTAAAGTATTTTGTTGACTGTGGCAATGACACATGATGCAGGAAAAAAAAAAAGGAAAACATAAAATAAAATCCACCCCAAAAACCCAAAGCAAATAAAAACAAAAAGAAAAGCAAGCCAAACCAAACAAAAAAAAAAAACAACCAAAAAAAAAACAAACCAAGACTGTTCTTCCAAAGAGATCATCTCGTCCATTTTTCTGTCATCTGCTCCACCTCTGTGGAGGCTCACTGACTTCATGGGGCTCAACAAAACCGTGAAAGTCTATCCACAGTATCAGACTTGAAGTGAACAGTTTGAGTTCTTTGTATAGGCAGCAATAATGTCAGGCAGAACAACTGTGGTATCAGCTGGATGGACTGCAGTAGATAATGCGAGAGAGAGAGAGACAAGGCACATTTTCTTCCTGTGTGTATAAAACTCAGAGCAAACCCCACGAAGCAGATGGGCCCAGGACAGCATAAGGCCTCTTTGTCATTAGTGGCCTATGTCCAAGATGGGCTAGATCTGGAAAATTTAAAATCACTCCTCCATCTCCTCTGCAATTCCACAATACGTTACCAACTCCAAGGTTTTGTATTACAAAAAAATCCAACTTATTCAACTGGTAACAGATGCACTACTGTCCCCGGAGTCCCATATTAGAAAATTTCTCTGTAGACATAAAGCAATAGCAGCAAAGTTGTTAATGAATTCCTACCACGTTTTATTCATCAAATTAGTCTAATTAGCATTTAAATTAGCTAAATATTAAGAAATGAGCTTCAGTCAAAACCCTGGACCTAGGCCTTGCTGGAAATCAGGCAAGTGGGGATGGGGAAGTAAACTTTAAAGCTATCTCCATTTCTCAGAGCTCTGTGAAAACTTCAGATAGGATGTGAATATCTCCAACATTAGAGAAGCTGAGGCTTAGATAGATTTTTCAAAAGTCAATACGCTCTCTTTCTTTGTGCTTCTTTGCAACAGAAATTCATCCCAAACCGGGAACCCAAATGAAGCAAACAGTATATTGGTTGTAACATTAATGTTACAAATTTAAAATTACAAAATAATAGAAAAAGAAAAGCTGAAGTTTCCAATGACAATTAGTGTTGCCATATGAACTCACTTAAAGGTTAAAACCAAACAGGTAGCAAATTTTATAGGAAATGTTTTCTTTTTCATTATTTGATACCATATATTACAGATAATGATGTGAAATATATTGTATACAATTTGTAAACATGTAAAAACATAGGTAGTGCACTTTAAAACCTGCTGTTATGTACTTTGATTTCCCTTACCTAATTTAAAGTAATTTTAATAATGTTATTTTAATGTCAATTTGGATTTTGGGGGGTTTTAAACCAGTTCAAAAGAAAAAAAAAAAAGAAAGAAAAGAAGCTTTGGGTTTCACACATAATTCAAACTTCGAAAAACAAGGAAGGAAAGGAAATTATTATTCCTTGTGTTAAAGTTACCAAGTTTTTATTAAAGGATATAAAAACTTTTTTAAAAAGTTATGCTAATTAACTTTTATTTGTAGAAATAAACACTAACATTTTTTAAAGCCTTTGCCATGTCATAAACCAAGAAATTCAGTATTACATGAAAAATGAAAAAGGAATGTCTTTTTTGGCTTTTGATATGGGGCAGAAGCTGATGTTTCCGACAATGCACAACAAACAGGCTCTGTGTCTTTTGAATAAGTGAATTCTCGCCAGCCAAACCAAATGTTGTCACAGAGCCACTGTTTCTCATCAACCAAGCGAGCTGTTAATGGCTTCCCAGCAACTGGCTTCACTGCAGATTAATTATCTATGCATGCATCCTTTCCATTAGGCAGTTGTAACTTTGTCAATAGCAAAGGCCAAATTGCAGTCTCCCTGTGTTTTAAAACTGATGTTTATTCCCTTCTGAGAGAGAGTTGTTTTCACTTTTCGCTCACATGAGCAGGCAGGGACTGGTTGGGGATGGTCGCTATCTGGAAGCTGGATGCCTTCCAGCCAACGGGGAGGGGAGGTCTGGGGCTGCCTTTCATCACAGCAACGAAGGCATAAATCTTGCCTATTTTTAGATGGAGTTTATCAATTTAGGACAAGATTTATGCTGATGGGGGACCTGATCTTGGGAGACTTGAGAAGTCCACTTCCTGTCTTGCATTCCCGTGGGCGGTTCTGGGCATATTGGCAAGAAAACTTTTGCGAATAAATTGAGCCAAACTTGTATTCTTTGCTACTTTAAGTACAGAAGAGATATTATTAAGCATTTTATAATAAGAAGAATTGTAATATCTGAATGTCTGATTTCATGATTTCATGAAAGTATAGTCTGTGCTAATACTTAGTTTATGGTAATGGTTAACTTTAAAAATCCCCTTTTCTCAAAGGGAACCACACCCTGAAAAGTGAATGCTTGAGACTATAACTCTCCTTTCTGTCCCAAATCTTTCTGTTTCATTAGGAGCACCCTGGCACACTGGTTTTACCCTCCTTTCAGATACATCTCTAACATGTTTTTTAGTTCACACTCATTTTTCCATCTTTCTACTCTCCCTTCCTCTGTAATCCCAACTGTCATTTCCTGGATTGGCAGAAATGCCGAAGGCTGTTAATCAGAAAAGGTTTTTTTTTTCCCTTGGAGATGATGGCAGGTCTACAATCTCATGCCTTTGGCCAGGCTGCTCTCTGCAGATCACCCTCTTGCTTGGGTCAGCTCGCTGGGTTGGCCCCAGTGATCCGGCTCTGCTCCTCATTCTGTTTAGGGAAGGCGGCTGTGGCTGCCTCCCGAGGGACAGCAGGCTTGGCTGCATCAAATGATAAACTGATTCATAGGATAAAATATAGTTTTCTACACAAACTGGGAAAATGGAATAGAAATGGCTACTAATCTGAAATAATTTTATTTGCAATCCTGGTTCACAGCATTCACGCATCTCATAGTATCTGTAGAAAACTTTTTTAAAAGGATTAAAAACCATCCTGGAGAATTTTATGTTTAAATTCTGTGGACGTTCACCCAATGAGAGAGCCCTCCAGCATGTAGCTAAATCAGTGTGTAGCTCTTAAAAGTCCAGAAAAACATCCGTGCGTGTCAGGAAAGCAGCTACTTAGCTCTGGAGCTATTATAAGGGGAAGATGTTTGAGGGAAAAGGAAGTAATGTAATTATTTATGCTTTCACATAAATCAACAATCTAGGTACAAG